ACCAGCATGAACATTGTTTTTGCACAAGTGCTTGGAAATATTTGAATAATTTATTTTCCAAATCTGAACTAATATTTGTTTCAACAGAATATCGCAAGTATTCGTCACAGCATATATCAAAAGACAGTATTACAGAAGATCTGTGTGAACAGTAAATAAGCAAGAAGCTCTGGATTCGTGAGCAGCATTAAAAAAAAACAGATATGGAAACAGAGGGCTCTCTGTCAGTGTATCTCACAAACAGGCTGAATGCAGCATCACATTTATATGGACAGCGTTTTTTTTTTAATTACAAAGTGTCTTTAAAACGTAGTATTTAATTTGTTTCTGAGCCATCACATATGTAATTCATAATATGTCCACTAGATGGTGGTAACACACTGCGACGAGCTTAAACTTGGACCTCATTATTGAAGTACAAATCCAAGCACCAGAAGCAGCCCACACTCTCTAAGTTTTCTTTAATTGAAAAATATGCATTTTCATTCATTCAAAGGCTATATGGTTGCAATGATTTTTTAGTTCAAAACTTTAAATGCAATTGTTTAAAATGCTTTATTGACTGACGTTTCATAGACCTTCAGTTGTTACGTTTTCAAATTTCATGCCATTTGTAATTTCACAGTATTTTCACCTCCTAACTTACTACACTTGTGAAGTCACAATTCTATATTGGTACAATTTACTCAGGCCGATGACATTTTTTGTATGACATTAAAATTATTTTTAGAATAATTGTACATAAATAGGTTAAGCAAAACAGTATAATAGTGATTATTTCTGAGAACTATTTGACTGCAGGCAGACATATATTATGGTACAGTACAAATATTTGGAGCGTCCCTTATTCTGTCCCTTGTTTTCTTAAAGAACAGACACTTATTTTCTACAAGAATACAAGAATAAACACAATTTTCTTAAAGAATAAAAGATAAAGAATCACAATTGTCCATTATTTTCCATTTCTGAAGTTAATTGGCAACCCTAATGATGACGTAATTATCTTTTGACTCCCCTGACAGCGGCACCTTGGTCAAAAAAAAACAACAACAAAAACCTTCAGTTGTTGGAGATATGCAAGCAAAAAATTATAGATGGAAAAATAGATAATATAAAGCGCAAAGGCGGCACTGAAAAGGCCAGTAAAAAAATTTAAAAATAAGTGGGCCGGTCTAAGGCATGAAACTCCAGGGCTGAAAATGAGTCCCACTCCGGCCCTGTGTGTTACTGAGTTGAGTCATGCCAAACATACAAGCTCGGACAGTAATGCAAAATCTTAATTTTATGAATATGCAACACTATATTTCATACACTATATTCCTTCTGCAGCACATTTGTTTAACAAAGTGGAGCAATTTAGCACAGGACGAAATAACCTGATTGTCTTTGTGATTTAGCTTTTGATTATGTTTCTAGAGGGATGAGCTCACTGAGAATGGCAGTGATCCTGGGGGAGGGCAACAAGGGGTAAGTTTGCCATCATACATAATGAGCCTGCAAATTACAGATCTTTACACCGGTCGACCCCCAACGACACACACAGGCAGGCAGCTGCCTGCTCCCCCTCCCAGCATCACACTCCCTAAACAGGTGGCTCATAGCTCATTAGCTAACAATGCACACAGATAGAACACCAGGCCTGATCAATTCTTGCACAATGGACCCTCCCTGATGGCTTATATGAATTTTATATACACCGCCAGTCAAAAGTTTGGAATAATTAAGAATTTTTTAAAATGTTTTGTTGAAAAAACAAAGTGTCTTATTCACACCAAGGCTTATATTTGATGAAAAATACAGTTTAAAAAATAGTATAGTAAAATATTATTACCATTTAAAAGACCTGTTTTCTATTTTAATTTTTTTTTTTTTTTAATGAAATGTATTTCTGTGATGGCAAAGCTGAATTTTCTGCAGCCATAACAAAAATTATTGGAATATGCTGAATTGGTGCAAAATCAATTATTATTGGTGCTGAATTATTAATAATAGTTCTTTGTTATCAATATTGCAAACAATTGTGCTGCTAAATATTACAATTAAATAAATATTGTTTTAAAAATTACAATTAAAATAAATATCATTATTATATTTTTCTGTATTCTTTGATGAATAGAAAAATTGAAAACAGCATTTATTTGTAAGCCCCCCCCCCATACATTCATACATATATCCCTATACATATATAGGGATATATGTATGAATGTATATATATATAAAGATATTTAGCAGCAAAAAACTGTTTTCAGCATTGATAATAAAAAGAAATGTTTAAAATCAGCATATTAGAATGATTTCTAAAGGGTCATGTGACATTGACGACTGGAATAATGGCTTAGCCAGCTTTGCTTTAAATGAAAAAAAATAAAAAAATAAAAATATATATATATAATAAATAAATAAAATAAAATATAGTTTTTTTCTATATTTTTGATCAAATAAATGCAGGCTTGGTGAGCAAAAGAGACATCTTTCAAAAACATTAAAAAATCTTAATTATTCCAAACTTTTAAACCGTAGTGTATAAATTGAGCAGGAAACATGTTTATATACAGTTCTTAATTCAATAGAAAGTCTTTTCATGCCTTTTCTCAACTAATAAAACAACGCTGCCAGTGCAATTTCACACTTTTCACCAGTGTGAATTCCTATGTGGTGACTCTCTGGGTTCGGGGGGCTTGTCGAGACCCTGTTTTAAGCGGTCAAGGTGTGGTAGATTAAACCTCGCTGTGGTCCTTTGATTGGTGATGGTCCTGGACCAATGCTGAACAGCCTGTCACTTGTCTCCTCTCGTCAAAGCGCTGGAATCTGGGTCATCAGGAATAAGCAGGGCCTTTGTGCTTGTTGTTTCCTCTTTGTGATCCCCAGCAGAGGCAGGCTACAAGTCCCCTGGGGGGGGACGATAGGGAGGAGGGCGCTTTCCTGGCAGTCAGACGTGAGGCCCAGGCACACAGCTATCCTAGCTTGCTCCAGAGGATCTTTTCCATGCACCATAGGAATAGCCACTGCCAGGGGCCACCAATGGGGCTTTTGAGGCTGATTGAATGACTCTTCCTTTACAGAAGGCATAGGAGAAGTAGTACAGTAGCAGTTTTAGATGCGTATTCTTATTCTTAATAACTCATTATCAGCCCAGTGATATTATATTGGGAGAGACTGGAGGCAATTATTTTCCTTCATAATTCAAAGACTACTACATGTCATCTTTTGGTATAAGGAGCATGTATATATGTGCCAAAGGTAACAGCAATATATTTGCATTTAGACAGAATTAATCATAATATTTAATATTTAATTTAGTAGTCGTAATGTTAAAAGTTGTAAAGGTAGTTGGGGCAATTAAAACGCTTAAAATATTTTTTTTACCACACTGTATCTTAATAAGTGCACATAAATAAATAGTGCGCATAAATATTCAGTTCATTGCTCAGTAATGTTTGCCTTAATACTGTCAGATTGTAGTAATTTCATAATATACATTTTAAAACAAAGTCAAAGTGGTACATTATATATATTTCTTAAATAAGCAAAACACTACATAGTCTTGAACTAGATATTTAAATAATACTGAAGTAATGTTCAATAGATATTTTAAGGATTTAGTCTTTCAATTCAGGCAGACATTTTTTATTGCATAAATAATAAGTTATAATTGCACTTGATAACTCAAGGTCATGATAAATATTATTGTACAGAAACATTTGACAGAAATATAAAAAAAAAAATATATTTTATTTGTAAATATTAGTAACATTTAATATTTATTATATTAAGTAAGTCATATGTTCCAAAAACTATGATATAGAAAAAACTAAATTCCAAATTTCTTTTTTTCTGAATAGGATAGGTTTAAATTCGAAGTCATCAAAACTTTATACAGCAAAATTTCTTGTACAACGCACTACTATAATCTTGATCAACTTTAAAAAAGATATATTTTTACAGTGTATTTGAGTTTAATAGCTTCAATAACATAATTCTAACAAACACCTATTTCTAGGCATTAGTTGATTTGTATATTTT